AAAACATATGTCAACATTTCTTATGAAGATTTCCAAGGCCAAATCACACATTTTCAGGATCAAATATCGAAATCTCGGAGAGGGCAGAAAACTGTCCGCAAAATAGGGTCTATGAACAGTCAAGGGTATTTCAGTCAATTCACAAGCTACAGTACTCCAATCACTCTGAAATTTTGCAGGTAACTAGCTAACTCATATATCTACAAGTTTCATGTTTTGAGCAAGAGCCGAATCAGTCTTTAACATGGTCAAATGTACAGTACGAAAACAGGGCAGAAATAATACAACAAAAGCTGAAATTACACTTCCAAGCCAATCTTTGCAAATAACCATCACTAACCACAATTAAGGGCTAGAAATCCTCACTTAACATGAGACTAGCCTATACTAGTCATGTACATGCCAAAACAAGGATGAATGAACTTAAACAAAGCTTAGAAATGTCACCATTATGGACTCTTAACAACCCAACATCCAATTTACAAGAATTTCCCTAAATTTAATCAAGATCACACAACTTCAAATCAATCATATACTCTCCAAAAATGGGACAGCATTACCCCTTAATTTAACGCATTTCCAACCTACCATTCAATACCAAATATATATCAATTCAACTCCATTTGTACATACAATTTATAGACTAGTAAATATACTCAATTAGAGCCACAATGCCCCTCAAGCAAGCCAATTAGATGCTTATAAGCCAACTATTAGAATTTTCCCCCAAATCGAAACCCTAGAAACCGGAATTCACACCACAAGCGTAAATTTTCCGCAATTGATCACAATTAACGCATAAAAGCTTCAATTAACACCATTTCAATCCATCAATCCAATCCTAATCATAACTTTCATATAAAATCAGGAAAATACCCAATAAATCAACAATTCACCATCAATTCCTTCAACCCATGAAATACTTCACAATATAACACATTTAATAACCACAAATCATTAATTAACCAATATTAGACCAAAAGGAAACTTGTTTATGCCACTTACCTCAAATTCAAGAAACCATCAACATAGAGCCTCCCCTCCAAAAACAATCCATCAAAAGCTCTAAGCCACCATAGCAAGCCCATGTGTGAATTATTGTCCAAAATCATTGGTGAAATCACAAGATTTTGGTAGAAATCAAAACTAGAAAATTGAAGAGTTTTCTCTCTTATGAAGCTCGGCTGAACCAGGGAAAGAAAATGAGATATTTTATGTGACAGCCCCACTTTCCCCTAAGGCGAACCAAAGGGGTGAGCGGACTGCCTGCCCAGCTCTCGCCAGGACTAACGATGCAGACCAGAACTATCTATAGCGATCCGAAACTTACAAACGAGCGTAAACAAGTCAAAATGGTAAAATAACCCAAAATAAAAAATGAAATCCGGAGTCGGCCATGAATAGTAACCGACCCGTCAGAACCCAACCGAAATAGCTAACAAACATTCACATCTGAACTTTAGCGTTTACAAATCAAAATGACATACAAAAGTTTTCAAAAGTTAATATATACACATGGTTTGCCAAATCAAAAGAGAAAACGCCCCAAAAGTACACTTAGGGTTTTAATACATGAGCTATACAAAAGATATGTTCGACTAGCTCAATTTGGCAGCCATTTGTCAAATCCAGACCAAAAGGGGTTTATTTTCCTGTAAGGAAAACAAAAGGAACAGAAAGGGGTGAGCTTGCGCTCAATGAGGTACCAAACATATAGCAGAAAAATCATGGCATTTCACATTTTACAAAATCAGATACACATGCTAGATGTAAAGCAAAGGAATCAAGGATTCAAATCAGAAGGATACGGGTGGCTCTGAGGAGCCAAATTTCCAGCGCCGTACTTGATCCAAATCGGTTGACTCTCCGTCAACGTATATAGAACCAATGCGTCCGTAGACCCCTCTTTACACCGAATTCCGTCCACCAAACACCCCTTTACCGGGCCCGCTCACCGTAACCGAACAGAAATGGTAATACTCGAGTATACCTGGAATCAAGGGTCTCAATACCCAAAATCCCCGAACAGACTACCGTGGTTCGTTATCTAATCGTCCAGGCCCTTGCCGCCCCGACTCGAATAACTTAGCCACAGGATTGAGCTCATAGGTCATAGAAGTCCGAACAGATGCAGACACGGATAACAGATTCAGATAGGCAAGAGAAATCTAGGTAATACCATCAGCAGAGAAACCTCGGACATCATGGAAACAAAGACAATACCCCCAAACGGCAAAGGAAACCCAAACACACAACAAAAGAAAGCAGCTTTAGACTGTAAAAGACAAGTAACATGCGAGGAAATTGCTGTAAAAGGGGTAAACTCGCAGGCAAACAATCTTTCGCAACTCCTGGCTACATTCAAGGGTTTCATATGGGAAGAGGTTGAGGATTACCTGTTCTGCTGCTACAAGAACTAGATTTTTGATAGGAATCTGAAGTAGCTGACTGGAATCCACCACAATCCGAGGGAAATGAGCTGCGGATCCTCTTCTCCTTGTTTTTCAGCTTCGATCCTCCAGCCTTTCTTATGAAAATCTCCCTCTTCCCTGCTCCCCTTTTTTTGTTTCTCCCTTTTTTCTGTTTTCCCGTGACACCCTTTTCTCTCCTCCCAACCTTTTCCAGTCGTCCTGTTGCCTTTGTTTTTTTTTTTCAGAAACTATCGATAATTTTTCTTTTCTCGGCTCCACTCTCTCTCGGTTTCTCCCTTGGAGCTCTCCCTCTCGCTTAGTTTCCTCAGCCGCTGTTCACTCTATTCTCTCCACCCTCGCTCTTTTTCAGTCGTCATACATTCCTCTCGGCTCGGTTGTTCTCTCTACTGGTGGTTCTCTCCTTTCCTAAAAACCTCACCTTTCCTCTTAGCCGTCACATCTATTTTCAAACCCCAGCCGCCGTACCTCACTCTTCGCTCCCTCAACCCCCCAGCCGTCACTCCTCTCTATCACTCTCTGTCTTTCAGCCGTCATACTCTACCTCCTTAAACCCTCTCATATCTCTCCTTTATATAGGCATCCGAAATCCCCCGTAACCTAAGACCAAGGGATGAGATTTGGAGCTGCATTTTGGCTCTTCCTATCAAGACCATCAGATGGCATTTGATTTTTGTACCTTTTGTGTTGTTGAATCAAAGCCAGGTGATCATGTACTGGCTTGATCCAACAGAGCAACAAAAATCAATGAAAAATGGGATGTCCTTCCATGCATGATTTCTGCTTGAAATGTGATATCGAGAAAGGGCCAGAATCCTATGCAACTTAAAGTGCATGAGCTTGCTCTTTTTTCTTTCTTTTTTTTAAAAATAAAAATAAAAAACATCATTTAATTAATAATAAACAAAATAACCAAAATGACAATTTAAGTAAAAATCAGATGCAATGAACAAAAACTAGGAAAAGAAGATAAAATGCTAAGATTTTTCTGTTTTTTTTTCTTTTTCCATTTTTTTCTTTTCTTCTTAATGAAATAAGCAAAAAATTAAAACAAAAATCAACTATATAAAAAAAACCAAAATTTTGGTGTCTACATCTTGCACAAAGTTTTTGGTCCTTTGATGTAAGGGTTGAAGGGGTTTTTATCGTTGATTGAGTAGTAGACACAAACGAAAGACTATATAATGTAGCGTAAATTATATGTAATTCTCTTGTAGTTTTATATATTGTTATATGAGAACCTATAAGATTTTAAAATAGCTATATAACCCCTTTATAGTTTTATATACTAGTTATATAACCCTTCTATAGTTTTATATACAGCAGAATGGATGAAAAACACAACCAATCACGATGATTGAACCAAACGCACTCTAAAAATTCATAAAATAAAATCATAATATCCATTTAATTCGTCTATGATTCATTGATATGCATGAATATCTTTTTTTTTTTTTTTGTCGAAACAATAGGACAATTTCATTATCTGAAAAAGTTACATATGCGAGCAACGGCTTGAGAGAACTATACAAAAAGTGTTCAAAAACACTAAGGAAAAAGTCCTTCCTCATCCATAATAATGCCTAAGGCATCTGCACACAGTTTTCTTCTATCTAACATATTTTCTTCCCTTTCCAATCCAAAGGAGCACATGCAAAACAGTCTCTTCAGCTTCAAAATATCTTCCAACAGTGTAGCCATCTTGCTATTTATAGGTCGCTGCTGTGTTATTTGTTTCCATAGCTCTTTATTGCAAAAGTTGAGCCTTACATTTCTCCAATGCTGTTGCACAGCTTTACACAAAACCAGTTTTAATGCCAATGCTTCATCCAAAACTTGTTCCCACAGGCTTCTCTCTTTCGCACCCAATCTGCAATTTTAGTGCTTGCCATTTCCCGTACTGTGACTCCTATTCCAAGAGTGTTATGTCCTTGCTGCTTTGCTGTTGCCACTCCTATAATTATTGTCCCTTCATTTTCATTGCGCTACCTTTGTTGTTCATGCATAGGGACTGTTTCTTCTGTACTCTTTCTATCTTTCTGCTGATTCACTTCCACTTGTTCCACCATTCTTTATGTGCCCGTTCTACTGTTCTCATTGGTGTGGACCTAACTGAGCTCTCGAATTCTTTTTTTCCTATCTTTCCACACCTGCCACAAAATATTTGCTGTCAGACCGATATGTTCCTTCCCTTCTAGTCTAGTCCTTGCTTCTGAAATTCTAAGCCACCATCTCTTGAAGTCTCCTTGCTAGTCCTTAGCTCCATCCCACTGAATAGGAGCTGATTTCCATATGTCCATCATGTAAGGACAGTTTAGCAAAAGATGTTCTATGGTTTCCTGTGCCTCACCACATGTTGTACATATAGGATCACCTCTTCCTGTTTGTCTACTCACTGCCTCCCTTACTGGCAAGGCTCCTTTAAACACTTCCAAATGAAGAGCTTGATTTTTTGTTTAATGTTGAGCCTCCACAGTGTGTTCCATATCTGAGTCATTTGTTGACTTCCTTCTGCATTGCTTGATCCAGCTCCCTCAGAGTTACACCTCTTTACACTTCTGCCTTTCTCCATCAGAATTTTGTAGTCTGAGTTAACTGTATACTCCCCTCCAGCCTTTGGTTGCCAATAATAGCTGTCTTCCCTCCTAAGAGGCTTAAAGGGATGCTGAGAATCCTCTCGGCATCATTTCTGTTAAAGTTGTTGAAGGTGATATTCCCGTTCCATCTCTTCTGACATATAAGCTCATCAACCATTTTCAGCTCACAGCTACTGGTTCTGCAAGTAGTTGATTTCCCCGTTAGTGTCTCTGGTAGCCATTTATGATCCCAGATTTTTGTACTTCTACCATTTTCAATTCTCCCGATGAAGGCTTCATCTAGTAAACTTCTTGGTCCCATTAATCCTTGCCAAATCCATGATGCATTCTTAGGGGGAGTGCATTGTAGGATGGATTCCTGAGGGAAATATTTAGCCTTCAACACCTTGCTGACAAGAAGGTTTGGCTTGGTTAGGATCCTCCATACCTGCTTCCCCAAAAGTGCTTTATTAAAGGCTTCCAAATCCTTGGAACTTAGACCACCTGTGTTTTTGTGTACTGCCATTCTTTCCCAAGAAATCTAGTGCATTTTGTTCCTTCCATTGGTTTCTCCCCATCAGAAATTGGCCATCAAAGCATTAATATCATTGCAAAGTTTTCTTGGCAGCTTAAAACATGACATAACGTACATAGGCATGGCCATTGCAACTGCCTTCAACATGACCTCTTTTCCAGCTAAGCTCAGGAATTTGTTTTTCCAATTCTGAAGTCTTCTTTTTATGTTTTCTCTTACAAATCCAAATATTTGATCCTTTGTTCTGGAATCACCATTGGAAGTCCCAAATATTTCCCTTGCTTTGCTTCCATCATTCATCCTAGAGCTTGGCATACCTCTCCTCTTTGCTCATAGTCCATGTTTTTACTAAAGAATAATGCAAAATTGTCAAGGTTGATCAACTGCCCTGAAGTTATTTCATAGACTTTTAGAACTTTCATGATTTCAACAGCCTCTTGCTTGTTAGCTTTACAAAAGATGAGGAAATCATCTGCGAAGAAGAGATGGGTGAGGAGTGGTCCTTGCCTACTAATTTTCAATCCTGTGATTCTCCTACTTTCTTCAGCTTTCCTTAGCAAATTGGAGAATCCCTCGGAATATATTAAGAATAGATAAGGAGACAATAGATCTCCCTGTCGTATTCCCCTTCCTGATGCCACAAAACCTTTAATTTCTCCATTGCAGTTGAAGGAATAGTTTACTGTTTTCAGGCAACTATTGATCCAGTTGATCCATATATAGCAGAAACCCATTTTTTCCATCATTGCCTGCAAAAAATGCCACTCCACCCTATCATAAGCTTTTGCCATATCAACTTAATTGCCATGTAATCATCTTTCCCTTGTCTTTTGTTTTTAACGTAATGCATGTACTCATGAGCAACAATCACATTATCTAAAATCTGTCTATCTGAAATAAAAGCTGATTGAGTCTTGCTTATACATTTGTCCAGGACAGACTTCAATTGATTTGCAAGAATTTTGGAGATGATTTTGTAAAGCACACTGCAAAGACTGATTGGCCTGTAATTTTTTAAATTGGTTGGGTGAAAGATTTTGGGAATGAGGGAGATAACCGTATGGTTTATGGATTTAAGCATGAAACTTGAATTGAAAAAAGCTTTGATTGCTGGGATAATGTCCCTCTTAATGGTACTCCAAAATCTCTGAAAAAACAGTGGAGTCATCCCATCTTGTCCTGGAGCTTTTTTAGGATTCATGGAAAATAAAGCATCATGAATTTCTTTTTCCTCCACTACTTTGGTCAATTTATCATTCATCTCCTGAGTTATGGAGTGTGGAATACCATCTAAGATTGCTAACATATCACTTCTTCCTCCACTTTTAAACAACTCCTTAAAGTAATATGAAATTTCAGTCACTACCTCATCCTCATTTTTTGTCCAAGAACAATTATCTCTCTACAAATTTCTGATTCTATTGCTCACTCTCCTACCCTTGACATAGGTGTGAAAATACTTGGTATTCTTATCCCCCTCCCTAAGCCAACTGATTCTAGCCTTTTGTCCTCAAAAGTGTTTTTCCTCCTTATAAGCCGAACTCAACTTATCTTTGATGTCATTCAGATTTCCTCTCCTATTGATAGAGTCTGAGTTCCTAGCTCTCTCTAGTTCTTTCTTTAGATCTATAATTCTACTCCTGGAGCTTGGAAAGAATTCCTCCACTTCAAGAGTTCAATTCTACAATTTTTAATCTTCTTTGTGATTTTGAACATTCTTGAACCTTGCTCCTCTTTATTCCAGGCTCTCTCAACCATTTGTTGCACTCCCTCCCTTTGAAGCCATCTCTTGTCAAAATAAAACCTCTGTTTTTTTTTTTGTTGTCGGGACTGTTTCTATCAAAAGTATGTGGTGATCAGAAGCAAATGTGTCCAAATGCTGACATCTTACCTTTTCAAAATCTTGGAACCATTAAACACTACATAGACATCTGTCTACTTTTTGTCTGATTTCTTCTTCATCATTCCAGTAGTTGCTCCACGTCCAAGGTTGTCCTTCAAACCCAATATCCACTAAGCTATTCTGCTAAATAAAGTCTTTGAAATCCCTGAAGTCCTCTCCCTCTTACTATACCTCCCCATTTTTCCTCATTAGACAGAATGTCATTAAAGTCCCTAGCTATCAGGTACCTAGAACCCCATAACCTTTCCTATTACTCAACACCCTCCATTGCTCTCTCCTTATCATATGGTCACAACTAGCATATAATCCAATAAACCACCAGATAACTTGATTGTCAGTGTCTTCAATTTTAGCCTCTATCGTGAAAGCAGTAGTGTTCACTTCCAGAACTTGTGTTTCCTTAGTCCAAAACAAAGCCATGCCCCCTGCTCTATTCATAGCTTCAACCACTACATTATTGTCAAATCTGAGCCCTCTAGCTATGCTATCAAGAACTAGTTTCCTATTTTTAGTCTCACTTAAAAAAATCAAATTTGGAGAGGAGAGGTTATTTACCCCCCTCAGATGGGGAACTGTCAAGGGGCTCCCCACTCCTTGACAATTCCACACCATGACTCTCATTTTCCTTTAGGGGCCCCTTTAAGGAAGGACCCCACCTCCTCTCCCCTCACCTCAGTAGAATACAATTCCTCCACGGGCTTAGTTTTTTTCCATTGTACTACCTCATGGTTAGTTTCCTCCATCTCTTCATCCCTGATCAGAACCTTTTTCTTTCCAACATTCATCTGGCTATCTTCTTTGCCATTTAACTCTCTCAAAAGTTTTCTGGTTCTAGTTGGGGACTTCAACCTCCTAAACGTCCTCTTGGCTTGCTTATCTATAACCTCCACCACCCTCTTAGTACATTAGGAATCATGGTGGAGCACTAGAGCCCCTACTGACTTCTCATTGGCCCCAAGTTCTTGATTTTGATTTAGGTTCAATATCTCGACCTCTCTATCCTCATCCATTTCTTCTACAACAGTTGGGTTTTGAACTTCTTCCTCAACCTGAATCACTAGAGAGAGGTCAGGGCTCCTCTTATCCAGGTTCAACTGACCCTCCTGGCAACCGTGGGTATCCTCCTTGCTTCACATCACATTTGTTGATGCTCCTGTATCTTTTGCTAACATATCATCCACCATATCTTTTCTTAAAACCTGAGTGCTATCTCCTCCATCACCAATAGACTTAAGAGTTTCCAACAGACTCTTTGTCATTTTGGTCCTACTATTATCCTGTTCAACCATTTCTCCTTTCTGAAAGGACCAATATCTTTTGTTGCTTAACACATCAGGTCTATTTGGTTTCTTCTGAGGTGAGCTTCTATAATTTCCAACTCTCAACCAAGGGCCGTATTGGTTTTCTACATTGCATCCCCCTAGGACTCTCCTCTCTTTACAGGACCTCTCATTCTGTCGTACTATACAACAACTATAGCACAAATCAGGGCACCTTTCGTATTGAAATGCTACCCACTTAAGAGCTCCTGCAATCTTAACCACAGTACCTCTTAGAAGAGATTTAGACAAGTCTACCAATGCTAAGATTTTCAAATGCCTGCCCTCTTTCCCTCCAGATTGAGGTGCTAACACCTCTCTAACTTCTTTAAACACTGCTCCAATCTTTTTTCCAACTTCTTTAGAAAGCCAGTGAACTGGCAAATTCCATATTTGCACCCAAAGGAGTGCAAACATAAAGGCTCTATAGTCTTCTTCTATCCCTTCAGTCCACCTGTTCAACACTAAAACTTGATTATCTATCACCCAAGGTCCCCATTAACAATTCTTTCCATCTCATCAGAAATCGGGATGTTGAACTGAAACAGATTAGGTCCCAGTTCCAGTACTGTCATATTCCTCGGATAACCCCATGCCATAGCCACAAAACTTTTAATCCCTGTAAAGTAAATCACTTTCTCTGCTATAACTCTTCCTATAAGACTACCTTCGCAAGCTCTCACTCCATTATGCAGGTCTTCCACCTCCAGGGTAGCTCCTGAGAGCTCATTCCCTTCCAGAGTAAATTTCCATAAGAGTCCCGATAGATCTCCCTCCATGGACAGGGTCAGCTATTTCTAGACGGAAATTCCACACCACACTTAAGAGACACAGGGTAAAAATAGGGTAGAGACAAACAAGGAAAAAACAAAAGGGCAAAAAGGCCACTAGAAACACTAAGTGATTCTGCTGACGAAAATCGAAAGTGAAGAAAGAAAATGTAAAAAGTTGCTTTGATCACGGTGACGGGATTTTAATATACGTACAAGTTAAAAAATTTGAAATACACCCGTTTCACTGCAAGTATACAGGTCAACTAGTAGTTTAGAGTATATATCGGGTTGATCCCACAAGAAAGATTGAACAATTACCAGTGTTACTAAAACTTCTCTATTATTTAGACTATCAATGAATTATAAGAAATGAAACCTACTGAACTTACGCAAAATAACAAATGAAAACTCCTTAGGTTATGATATCCCTAACTACTCATACAAGTGCTATATTTGGATCATCGAGTACTACTATCTTGGTTAGTTATGGTGTAATTTCCTTATGCATATGAAACCTACTTTCGTAGTGAATCAACTATACTTATAACTAATCTATACCTATTCTCAAGGTTATAAAATTAGTTACAAGTTCATTTCTTCAATGAAATTACATGAAATTAATCACTAAAATCACATAGGTGCACCTCTACTCTCGTAAGTGTACTCCCTATGTTTAGCACTTCTTGAACCAGTGTTAAATCTCAATTTTCATTGCAGAAACAACACCTTAGATAATCACAATTAATGGTACTAAATTAATCATGATTTCAAAGAGCTAAAGTGCTAAATAACTTGCTCAAAATAATGGCATCAAATAACTAAATAATAAACACTAGCAATCATAGAAAGTTCAACCAAAGCCAAGGCATAAACTTTAAAGACACATAATAAACATGAAATCCAAAACTTGCATATTAACCATATTTAAGAATCCAATACAAAAGATAAAAAGTTGGAGAAGAGATAACCCATGTCACTTAAGTTTCAACTCCTTCTTCTTCATCTCCATCTTCATCCTAATCTAACCAATATACAAGAATGGATGAATTAACTAGCTAAACTATCCTACACTAAGAAAATGAAAGAACTACATATCTGCACTCTCCAAGCTTCTCCGTATGATAATAGACTTCTCAAATGTCTCTGTATATAAACTGATATCAGCTCCATTCCACCGGTCAAAGTTCCACTCTAATGATTCTCAAATCTCAATTTGTTAAGAAAGTCAAAAACCATGGTTAAAAACCACGATTTTTTACTTGGAACTTTGGCTATATCTCTTCTTTTTTGTCTTCTAAAGCATGTGCAGACGAATTTCCTTACCAAAAATAGCTGGAAAGTGGTGTGAATATAAGAGAAATGGCTGAGCAAATTGTAAAATTTCAACTACAAAACGCGACTTCAGAAAACGCGGCTTGGAGTCACGTTTTGTCAACTCGCATTTTCAACTCTGTGTTTTTGGCTTCGCTTCTGCTGCGATTTTATCCATGATGGAGGCCAAACTAGCTTTTGTGCAAAACACAAAAGTTGTAGCCCTTTGAATTAGCTTTTACAATTCTTCAAAAATTATCCAAATCGGAGCTTTATAGACTGAGATATGATTGAAATACTATCACCTGGTCAAACCCCTGTTTCATTCTCGTCCATAGAATACAACTTCTGTATTTCGAATTTTTGTCCATGAAAACAACAGAATTGGGTTTCGATGTCTTCATACCAAATCTAGATCTTTTTCTTAACTTAAAAATGGTATAAAGATCACCTCAATCCGATATGTGTAACTCTAGATATAGTCA